CTAATCTGAAGTAAACATTGAATACTGCTTTCTATTCCTCCATCTTGAGACTGTGGAACTCCCTCTCTTATCAGCATGTGAAGGACACTGTTCAGGAACTAGTCGACGGTGACGAGTGATTATTATTATTTTTAAGTACTCAGGAAAAGTCAGGATTTTGCGATTTTGAGAAAAGTCAGGATTTTGCGATTTTGAGAAAAAGTCAGGATTTTGCGAAAGTCTGATTTTTTTTGGAGAAAACCGAATTCTGAGATTTTTCGAAAAAGTCAGAATTTTGAGATTTTTGGAAAAAGTCAGAATTTTGAGATTTTTGGAAAAAGTCAGAATTCTTTGAAGATGTCAGAATTCTGAGAAAAAGTCAGAATTTTTAGAAAAAGTCAGAATTTTTAGAAAAAGTCAGAATTTTGAGATTTTAGGAGAAAGTCAGAATTTTTAGGAGAAAGTCAGAATTTTGAGATTTTGAGAAAAACGTAGTATTTTGTACGTGACAGGATGTATATACTAGTTGATGCTCTGTATGTGATGACTACTTCCATCACAAATACATGGATCCTGAGATTGAAGCTCAAGCCAGTGACTAGTGAGATTTTTCTAACAGAAAGCTTATAAACATCTGTCCGAGCTGCACTTCCTGCTCATAAAGGGTCAGTAGTGTTAAAAACTAAAGGTTTGTTACAATGGGAAAAGTGATGGGCGGATAGAAAATACCACAAAATGACTATTATTTACTGCTCTAATTATCTTTGACTGCTCATTTTGTTTAATCAACCGGTCCAAATAGGTATATGTTCCAGTAACATGGAAAATAAGCAAATGTAGCATTTGTGCTTGATAATTGACTTTAAGAAATAATTGATGCTAAAACATTTTGTTTTGTGTGAATCAATAACTATCACTACGCAAAAAGCAATATTTAAAATGCAAGGAGGTGAGGGTTTAAGTTTAGCTCCTGTGCAACTCTAAAAACATCCTGATATTAAGAGCTCTGTCAGACAGGAAATGATTCACACTAGACTTTTCCACAGTCTAAAAGGGTTCACCCGAACAAGACACAAGCATCAAGAGATAACTCCCAATGTGTTCTTGTACGAGTTCTTGTCTTTGTTTGAAGAACCCACCCCTGCTTGTAGAGGTGCAGCACCACCCAGATGTCCTCTCCAGCCTTGTTGACCTCATTGATGTAGTCCTGCCCGGAGATCTCCACCACCTCTCCAAACACGTTCTTCAGCTGAGTCGCTTTCCACTCTGAGAGACGCTTCTGTCTGTGGGACGAACATGTCTCATCAGTGGGCAGTCAGATTAAATGGCTTTCAATCACACTCTTGTTACAGATCTCCAGGAAGCCACCAACCAAAAGCTAATTGTTTTACTTTGGCAGCATTTCTTTAAGTATGAAGCTAAATCCAGTTTGCATGTTTGCATTTTGACATGCACTAGTCTTGAGAAGACATTTCACACAGAGTAACAGTATAATACACATTATTGCTCCAATCTCTACTCACCGGTACATTTCAATGGCAGCCTCGTCTTCCTCACCAAACTCATCTTCGTTCTCGTCCAGATCTTCCAGCGACATGTCCTCGTATGTTTTCACTATCAGAGACACGACGGTAACAGCAGTTCATCACATGTTCTGAAAAGGCTCTAACCCTGAGTGATCCAATCCACTTTAATTCTATAGCACATATTAAAAACAGAGGGGTTACCAAAGTCCTTCACAGCAAACATAACATTATAATAAAAGATAATATTACAATAATAGATAAAAGGTACATAAAAGCTGTGGACAGACAATAAAAGCATAACAATCAATAAAACATAACTCAAACTGACTCGGAAGCGAGGGAAAAGAGGTCTTTAGGCGGGACTTAAAAGTTTGGAGGGTGGGCGACAATTTGACATGGGGGGGCAGGTCGTTCCAGAGCCTGGGGGCTACCGCTGAGAAGGCTCGGTCTCCCCTGGTCTTGGTTTTAGGGACTACCAGCCGCAGCTGATCAGCCGACCTCAAAGCCCTTGAGGGGGTGTACACCTGTAGGAGGTCGGAGATGTACTGAGGGGCCAGCCCATTGATCGATTTCAAAACAAACAATGACATCTTAAAATGAACTCTAAAATGGACAGGAAGCCAGTGGGGGGGGGGAAGCCAGAATTAGGGTGATGTGCTCATGCTTGCGGGTTCCTGTAAGTTCCTTGATCAGTGGTTTAATTAGAGTACACTAGTGATCGAAATATCATATTTGATCTAATTCACATGATTTTCATTTGTACGTTTTCACAGTACGTTGTATTGAAGGACATTTAAAAAAACTCATGTAACATATATATTCCAAGTTCTTCTCTTACCGATAGACCGCTGCTGGCGGGCCAGCTCCTCCTCCTCTTCGGCATCGTTAGGGACCTCTTTGGGAGGGAGGATGCCTTTCTTCCTAAGGATATCATTCCACTCTGTGTCTTCATTTGGGTCCTGTAGAAAAAAACAAAGCAATTACGACTGTTACTCGTATTCTGGGTTTCCTTTGGCTTGGATATGTTATGTTTGTAAGATGATTTCAAAACTGAAATCTGCTAGTTTTCAAAAATCCAAAGAAAACGAATTGTTGGTAGTTGTCTGGTCACACACGAAAATAACTAACTGACAGAAAGAAAAAATAAACATATGATTGTGTCTAAACCTGCTGGGGGTATTGGAAGTTTCTAGGTAAAAGTTTAGAGTGCTCTGCCTACAACAGCAATACGGAGCGAGATTTAACCCTTAGATAGAAATGAGTAGATTGGATGGATGGTAAGCTAAACTATATATTCTGCTTAAACCCCTGAAATCCTCCTTATCTACTGTGGTCAGAGCTCCAGGGAACAAGCCTCACCTGTGGGTAAAGTCATGTTAGGCATGACTCATTCTGTATTTCAGGATGTACATTTCAGCTCTAAGTAATGACGCTATCGATTAGCCTTCGTCAGGCAAAAAGCAGTTTAGCTTTTCTTTCTTTTTAAATTTTGTCTGAAATATCTGTAGACTATGGACTCATTTTAAAAAGCCTGGGACATTTCCACTGACATGAAATGGCCTCTTATGGAATATTAACGTTTTTAATAACCCCATGTTTGATAAAATGGTGATTAGTTACACGTCTGTCTGACCTCCAATCGGGTTATCAAAACAAAGAAGCCCAATATCACAAGACACGTGAGTTTCTCAGTCGGCTTTACAGAGTAAAACACATGAATGACAGTGCGAAAAGATACATATAATGACAGGAAAATAATAACAAATAAAATAGAGTGTAAAATACAGGAAACTAAATGGTGATATTAGCATTTCGCTAGCTTAAGCTAACATTTAAACAGCTGATACGCCCAGCTACACTGCTAAAGCTAAAAAAAATAAAAATAAACTCACATTTTCTCAACACACAACTTCGACATCAAGCGATGTCAAAGCGCCACATTCACCAAAAACAAACCAAATCGTTTAAATGTTTAAAGAAGAGTTACAAACCTGCATTTTGTCAGATAACAGCTTCCTCTGAAATCACACCACTGCTGTCTTCTCAGACCCGGAAACAGAAAGGAGTGTTCGGGCAGAAACAAAAAGCTACCACTGTTTCAAATTAACTCACTCTTCTTCCAGGATTAAAATAAAGTCCGTGTTATTTTTTCAGAATGTAATTCAAGAACAATCTGTATTTTAAATATTTATTTTTGTGGTGCTACAACTTGGTTATCCATGTTTTAAAAGAGGAGGAACATTACGCATTATAGGTCGGACAATAATAGAAGTGACACCAATTTCCTTTTGACGCTCGATGCGACCATATAAGGAGCGAGAGCGCAGCATTCCATTTGTGGCAGCAGCTGAGCAAGAAACCAAACAGGTGCTGTCGCACACACACACACACACACACACACACACACACGCACACACACGCACACACACGCACACACACGCACGCACGCACGCCCGCACGCACACACACACACGTTATTTACTGGAGTGTAAATATGCCTTGACCATAAGTCACTCCAATGTATTAGTTTTACAAATATATAAAGAGTACATTGAAGTGGGTTTAAGTGGGTTGCTCAACTCTAGTGAAAAAAATCTAGATATGAGGTGTAGCAAAGACAACAACATCATAGTGAAAACCAAAGTGAAAACCAGTTCTTATCATTACTCTATAAACAGATTTCCTTTTCGGAGTGTGCTTATCTGAAGTAGAACTCCAACACACAATCAGCGTTTTTTTATGAACAACATGTGTATTCTTACCATGTATACATTGAAACATAAGTAATAAGTAACATTAACTCTCCAAATGTAAAATGATGGATCATATAATAACAATGCAGGTAAAATGACATAATTGCAGTGCAGTACTTACAGTGTGTGACTGTAACCATGAATTAACCCATTGTTTAAAACTACCAATAAGAAAAAGGAGGATTACAGACTAAACGCACATACAAATAAGACTGAGATGGATGTGGTATATTGTTTGAATCAAAACATAAAGTTATCATTGATGTGAAGCCATGAGGACGGTCTTCATGTGAAGTCTGCGACACACATCCTTGAAATCTAATTCAAGCTCCTGCCAGTTTCATTTGCTCAACTTCCTCTTTTTCTAATTCCTCTTCTTACTCATTATACGTTTCACAAGCACAATGAGTATATATATTTAGCAAATAGAATGATGTTAAATTAAATGATAAGTGGAAACGAACATGGGGGCATGAGTGGTATTTGAGTGATGGTAGTTATTGTACCATAGACATACAGGGCAGAGTGTGCAGTGTGCATTTCAGAGGGAGGGTCAACAGACGCCAAACAGTGACTCTTTCCACTAAGTATGACCCCTAATTGGTTAATTAAGCCATGGACACTATTGGCTGGTATACGATGTTGAGCTTACACACGTGAAAGGGTGTTTGTGGGCGTTATATCTCGTAATGGTGTTGACAGACTTTAAAACTGTTGCTGTACATTAATTTGCCATTGAGTTGTCAGGAGCAGTTGATGACAGGACATTTAGATTCCTCTTATTCAGTCCTAATAATGGATGGTCTGAATGTGTCATCAGAATTGGGTTTGCTCAATCAATACAAAATAAATCCCTAATTGAGGTCAATAAAGTGATTATTTAATAAATCAATAAAGCAAATCTTATCTTATCTTAAACACACAAATGTGCTTTGGTGTGAATTAAAGCATACATAAAAAATGTAAGAGAAACAACATGTACAACAAGAGCAAGTAAATACATATTATAAAACTTATTGTGAAAAAAAAAGACTATTATAAAATAAAACAAAAAAATGTATATGTACAGTATTTGAAAATGGAATAACTGTGCCGTTTTAAAAAGGATAGTAGTGTGAAGAAAAGTGCAACAATAGTCAATAGAAAATTAGCTTTTGTGTGATAATTACAGTCCTGAGCACCTGAGCATTGTGTCAGCTGAACAGCCAATCACAAGAGGGCTAGTGAATATTTACCGGAAGGGAAAGTCGTTCAAATGCGGAAGAGAAATATCATAAAAACGAAGAGCTCTCGCTCTGTCTCTGTTTTCTAGGAACCACATCTTTGTGCACAATAACTACAATAAAAGCTTTTCTTGCCAACATGGAAATATTTATATAAAAAAGCATTGTTCTGATTCTGGGGTTGAAAACTGTTTTTTCTAAAATATTTTGAATGGATTTATAAAAATTAAAAACATTAATTAATATGTAATTGTGACATGTACAGTATGTAGTAACGTGTGTTGTTTGCATTTTATTGTTCTCTTTTATCCTTTCTCCTCTATCTACTTGTCTTTCATCCTTTCTTTATAACTAATGCTGTTGATGTATTGTGATTTTAAAAAGGTGTCTATTATCATCTGTCCGGGGACAACAGCTGGAAATGAGCAATGTTGGCCAAAGCTGCCCCATTTACTGTTCTTTGTGACAGTTGATCAATGGGGACTGTCCACGACACTATACACTAATAAACTAAACTAAATTAAATTAAACTAAACTAATATTGATATTTTATTAATATATTAATATTAGTTAAAAAAAATGTTTTATTATTATCTATTAAGAATATTTCATTAACATGTATTTATTTATTTATTCCACACATGGCAGTTATTTTAAAACATAGCGCGTGGTGGAAAGGAGCAGGGAGAAGAAAATCTTATTCTACCTGCCCCTTCTTAACAAACAAAACAGAATAATAACCATAACAAAGTAAAATAAAAGCAATATTCTTTCAGTCACAGTTGCTTACAAATACTGAAACATAAAATCAGAACACAATCAAAAGTCAACTTCATACTGTCTCATTACGCTTTCTTTATACACTTTCTTAAACATAAACATTTTCTTACAGCCCTTTAAATCATTCGGCAAATAATTCCACTTCTTTAAGCAGACTACAGATACACACATATGCTTTAAAAATTAATACAAAAAACGAGTCAATATTTATAAACTACTGCTCCACCCCAGAATGGGTCATCTTCTCCAATAGAGGATCTCTGTGGTGTGTACAGCTGCTGCAGATCGGGCGTGAGGCAGCAGACGAGAGGCGGACTGAAGCCTGTCCGCAGGAGAACCATGGAGAACCCCGAGAACCCGCCTCTGTAGGGCCGAGCAGGACGCTCCATATCCGGGGAACAAGAGTCAACTCACCGGCGCTGTAAACACGGTGGGGGGGCTCCCTCCTCCGGTCCCTCGCAGCGGGAAGAAATGTGGCTAAACCCAGAGGAAGTTCTGCTGAAAAACGCTCTGAAGCTCTGGGTGACCGTCAGGAGCAACGACTTCTTCCTCCTGCAGAGGAGGAGAGGACATGGAGAGCCCACAGGCAGGATCACAGGTAAACAACAACAACAACAAACTACAACACACACAAGGGAGGATCACAGGTACAAAAACAAAAAATAGATTTAAGTACTGTACTTAAACATTTGAGAGACTTTTACCTTACTAAAGTATTTCCATATTTTGCTATTTTGTACTTCTACTCCACTACACTTCAGGTCTAAATCATGTACTTTTACTCCACTAAATATCCCTTTAGTTACTTTACAGATGTGGATGAATGATGTGAAATATAATCACCTCTTAAATCAGACTTTAGTTCCACCTGGAGTAAATCCACAAGCTACCCTGCAGTATACAAAGTCCTTAAAGCTAGCTGCACCTTTACCAGCTTTGATAACACTTTAATGATCAATCATTATAAAACACATCATATATATTATTCTGAATTGGACCAATCTACAGAACAACTACTAACTACTTTTTGTACTTAGATTTTGATGCTAACACTTTTCTACTTTTACTTGAGTAACATTTTGAATGCAGGACTTGTACTTGTAGCAGAGTATTCCTAGACTCTGGTACTTCTACTTTTACTAAAGTACAAGATCAGAGTACTTCTCCCACCTCTGATTACACGTAAACCGGTGAACTAGGACAACAATGGAGAAGCCAGAGAAACCCAGCTGTCAGGTCAACAACAAGAATAGGAACAACAGGAAAGAGGCAGCAGGCAAAATCAGAAGGGGTTGAAACGGAGAGAAGGATTACAAAGTTAACATAAATTCTGGGAATTTTGGATCAGTTGGTTTCACGGGAAAGCCCCGGAATGACCACAGCCTTTGTGTGTGTTACTATGGCAACTGATGCCTTGAAACCAACTGTATAACTGTATGGAAGCTTTATTTAAACAGTTGAGCAAGCTGCTACGCTCCAACTGTAGTTAAAACACTGCGACCATTTCTTTAAAAAAGCTTGCAACAGTCCTTTGAGTCAAATCCAGACTTTCTCACTTCCTATAAAGATGTTTCACACAGGCCTCAAAGCCAACATTAGAAATAGAGTGGGGGGGTTGGGGGCTACCACACCTTGCAGTGTGCATTGTTAAAGGAAAGCAAGGTCAAAGCTGCAGCAACTATTACATTTGATTGTCCATTGACAGATAAAACATGATTAATGATTGACTTGTAATGGCATAAAATGATCTTTTTAGGCTCTCGAACGTGACGATTTCCTGCTTTTTAAGTTAATATGTTTTGTTTTTTTTGGCTGACACTAGAAAAACGACTTAAAAGACTGGGATGGATTCTTTTTTGCTATATTCTGACATTTTATGGGCAGATGAACCGATAATGTAAAGTAGTTGCAGCCCTACTTGCAGCATTGAACACATCACCAACCATCTGAATTCACTTTACCTTGATTTTGGTAAGTTAAGTCTGCAGACAAAATTATCTCTCAAAAAATTATTAAAACTAAAAAGTTATTAACTATTTATGATTATATTACTTTAATGTACTTTTAACAATCACTCCTCTAGGATTTTTTTTTTTTTAAAGTATATAAAAGTACCTAAAAATGTTAAATACATGTATTGACACATAATATATATATAATTGAAAATGCTCGAGTAAAAATATGTTTTATTTAAATATTCCCAAGTCAGTTTACATTCATGTTTCTTATGCTGGTGTTATGTATTGTGTATTTTATTTTGTGTGTGTTTGTACGGCAACCTTGAGAGCCTTGAAAGGCGCCTATATAAAATAAATGAATTCTTCTTCTTATTAGTTTAATTATCTCCAATTAGTGAGAGCTCAATTTCCCAAACATGCACAGTGGTTGATTTCATTCAGTGGTCTTAATGCTGCCATATTTAAGATTCCCGCCCCCCCCCCCTGTGAAACTCATACTCTCATTCTTTATTTAGTGATAACTGTACACACTGTTGACCATGTGCTGGTGCAGCTGTAGCCCTCTTTCTGTTTCCCAGCGAGCTTCCCTGACGCGCTGTTTGCTGTTTCCTCTGTCTCGCTTCCTCTCTGTGATTCTCTTTACTTCACTGACACATTGCCGTTCAGTAGATTTACACGATGAGGGACACTTCATATTAGGGCTGCTCGATTATGGCAAAAATCATAATCTCGATTATTTGGGTCAATAATTGATATCATTTACTTTGAAAACATCAATTTATTGGAGAAAAAAAATGTGAACAGTATGTTTTTAACAGTTGATTACCCTGAACTTTAAGTATAATTCACCTGAAAAACCCAAAAAAAAATAATTAAAAAAAATAAAAATATAATAATAATAAAAAATAATCGTTTTATTTCGATTACGTTGTTTTCGTAATCGTTGCAAGCCATAATCGTAATTGCGATTTAAAATATGATGAATTGAGAAGCCCTACTTCATATCATTAAACCAGACAAGCAGCTCACACACAGCCCTCTTCATTCTCCCTCTTCTTCCCTGTGAGGGAAACCAAGGGTTGCTCTTCTCATAAAACAGAATAGTAGGAACTTCCTGTCCGGGGTTTACTTTGTGTTTGTGTTTGTTCCCACTGTTCCCATGGCGAGAGCAGGTGAAAGGTCAAGTCCTGTTGTCATGTCGTTCAACATTAACTAATTAAACCAGCTCCTCTCCGGCATTCCTGCCACACAAGAGGAGGAAACAATAGCAGAGCAGTTTGTTTTATCACTCAGATCTAACTTTAAAAAAGGTGTTTAAGTTTAATGATTAAAGCAGGAACTATAAGACAGTGTGAAACCAGCGGTGATTACATACTTCAAGCAGGATTTCTGGGAAGGGCAGGGCAACTAAACATCTGCAGCTGATAAGTTCCTCATACCAAACCCTGTTTTATTTTATTTCCAAGCAAATACCTATCTCTCCAAGAGGCCCTATTGTGCTTTTTGGGTTTTCCCTTTTCCTGTAGTGTGTAATATAGGTTTTAGTGCATGTCAATGGTCTGCAAAGGCTACAATCCCAAAGTTCTCTCCNCTGTAGGGCCCCAATTCTTGATAACGTCCCTCTTCAACAATATGCTCTGGTAGTTCGCATCTTGTATATTTTGCATCTCAGGTTAAAGATCAAGAGAGCTACTCGAACTACAGGGGGGAAGTGCAGACAAAATATATCGCACACTTGATGTTATGCGCTTCAAACTATCACTACCTCCTCTGCACTATACTCTGCTCACACACAGATGAAGTTCACTCCTCATCTAGCTGAGATATTCTCTTCCACTGCCTCAGTGGCCTGAACAACACAGAAGCCATAGATCAGCTGTCACTCAACTTCCCTGGCTCTAGAGTATCCAATAGTGTAACATGCGATTCTAATAAAATGCCGCTATAGATAGCAAGAGACAAAGTAAGCAGCTGCGAGCTAATCTCTATAATTGTTATAAAATAATTAATACATAATAATAAGTAATAATAATAATAATAATTTGTATAGATCACTTTTCCAATTGCTCAACGTCAGCTACTAGCTACTGTACACAACCTGGCAATTAATGGGCAATTACTGGACAGAGACCAAGAGTAACTAAATGTCGAATATTCACCTAAAGTGTGTATGCACTGCCTGGTAAGCGATATTTAAAATCCTGTTTGTTTAAACCCGCAAGGGCCCTGGCTTGCTATTAGCCGCTCCCTCTCCTTCAAATCTGGGAGGCGTGGCCCCTGACAGGGAAGGGTGACGCTGATCCTGAAGCCATGCATCTGTGCATGTAGCAGCAGTATGTGATTAGCCATGTAACATTATACAGGTAGGTTAGCTAGCCATGAGCAAAGGATAGCTGCTGGATAAGCAAATTCACTGTGCTCATCCTACACTCCATCTAATTTTGAATAGCAAGCAGGTAGCCCTAACATCAAGGCGCACAAAATGTTGGCCAAAGCTGTATGGGCCCCTTCAAAACAAGTTCGTGTGAATAAATAACTTTCTGTGAAGATACATTGTGTGAGCTAGCTGTCGACCTCCGATTTATTATTTTCCTCGTTGCTGAGCGTTTTTCTTTATCGTTTCTGAGCTCGGCTGATTCATGAGCTGCTAGAGACATTTTCCTGTCGTCTGTTCAAGCTGCAGCTGCGTGTAGCGCTGGCTGTGCCGCCTAGTCTATAGTTGAAAGTGGGGTGGCAAGATCTTAGTAACTGGCAGGAAAGGGGTGGTTTGGGAGTGGGGCCCAGGGCAAGCGACCACCTCCATGGCAGAAGATTAATGTAAAGCGAACAGCCTGACGTGCAAATTTGCCTGGCAATATAGAGCACAGACGCTAACATTTGCTCAGAATCACTAATGGGATCCTAAAGGATCGCTATAGGGTTGCCAAAAACGTAAGAGATTCTATAAGCATGTGTTCTGACTAGGGATGTTACGCCTAACACTCTAAAGCTGTCTGATATCGCATTAACCGTGTAACTGCCCTGGTCATCTGTTCTCACTTCCTCTGGCTCGCTCCCTGAGTCTGCAGGCAGTCACCACAGTCATTCGTAGCATTAAGGAGAGCATACACATTATGAGTACACTGAACTGGGTTGAATACACACACACACACCCGTTAGTTACAGTAGGAGATGGGCCTTCTATCATAGTTATCTTCTATATTCTACTGCATTCGATTCTTCTTTTATTTTCATTCAGGTTAGTTGTATGCCTTAAGAGAATTGAAGGGCTGGCATCTGTAAATGCAGAATAGATAAAGTACTTTATTCTTATTTTATTATCATCTAGTTTCTTTCCAATGAAACTGAAATCAGAGAAAATAAGAGGTATTGAATGGGAAATATGAAAGCATCAAATGGCTTGAAAAGGAAAATGGACTTTCGGAATCAGTTTCTATTTTTTATTTACTGTTCTGTAAAAAGTCTTGTCGAGATGTAAATGTTTATGTTGGACCCCAAGGAAGACTAGTTGATTGCGTTTATTGTATTGAGTGGTAAGAAAGTAAAGACATGTCTAACATATCCTTTGTTTGAACCAACTTACTCGAAAAGGTCTGCCACCACTGACAGGTACTGGTCGCGGCGGTGATTACACTCCCAG